CTAAAATAGAATTTAGAATATAATATAGCTTATTATTTTGAAAATTATATAACATCTTAACAATAGAATATAGAAAACTTTTCAAAAATAAGAGTGATTTATATAGATTCATATTTAATACTGTAATTCATTATATAAAAATTTAACTTGAAAAGTATTTGAATACTACAATATGAAATTTAAGTAATAAAACTTCACAATAGACTAAATGATTCTAGATTAGTATGAATTACAATGATTATTAGACTTAAACAAGCACAGATCAAAAATTGTGAATTACTTAATTTATTAATTTACAAATTCTTAAGTTATTTAATAGATAAATGTAATTTCATACTCCAAGTGACCAAAATTGCAAAAGATATGGGAATAATATTTAATAGCTAAAAATGACAAGATATCTTTAAATAAAGAAAGAGAAATAGTTGGATTAGTGAACATCTTATATTAGAAGATTATAAAAAAGCCATATTATCTTTTAAAAATATCAACTGATGTACTTAGATCAGCTGATTGATTAGGAAACTATGAAAATAAAAAACTAATTAATACTTTCACTTCTATAAAATACAAGCCAAGGATTTATATCAGAATGGTTTTAAATTATAATCAAAAACCTTTCAAAAGAATAACTAAAGAAGCTTATAAGATCCTAGAGAGAAAAGTATAAAAAATAGAAACCAGAATACTCTAAAATAAAACCTAATCAAAATAAATAGAAAAAATTATAAATAGTAATAAAAAACAAAAGAAATAAAGTAACTTGAAAAAGTTAAACTAAGAAAAAGAGAAACACAATGTAATAATGAAGCATTTTACCTATTGTGACATCAAAAATGATTATAAAACTAATCTATAAAAATGTCTTGAATATTCAAAAGACACAATACAAAATGATGATTATATTATAGAAAGAGAATGAAAAAAATATATATGGTACCATATCTAAATATAAAAAAGTTCACTATAAAAACATGAGAATTAAAATTCTTAACCTTAAAATAGTACTTGAAAAAAGGATTAAAAAAGTAATTTATAGTGATCAAAGTTCTTTTGTGATTCAAATCAATAAAATAAATCATGTGAATATCAAAACCTAGGAAGAATTTATTATCAGAAAAAATATTAAAGAGAAAGTATATCAAAATCACCTAACAGAAATATTTCAATGCAATCTCAAATTCAAAAAAAAAAACCAATTTTCTATTTCAATAAATTACTTATTAATTATAAAAAAAAAGAAATAAAAATAGAAGTAGTTTGGATTTAGATAGAAAAAGAAGGAAAGGAAAACAAGTTTCAAATATAAATGAACAGTTGATACTCTTCTATAAGAATTGAATTGATAACAATTATAACAATACTTCTAGTAATCTTAATTGAGAGCACAGTTGAGATTTGCATAGACAGTTAGGTTTATATTTTTAAATAAGATTCTTTAGAAAAAGAAAATTCAAGAAGAACATATAAGAGATAATTTAAAGAAAAAAATTAGTTCTTTTGGATATATATAATAAAGCAAATAAAAAAAAAATATAGATCTAAAGCTTACAAAAATTAAGTTACATTCAAATAATCTTTATAATAAAGAAGCATATATCTTAGCAAAGAAAGTCCTAAAATTTTTACTAATTGAATAGAAAGATCTTATCTTATATAAGATTATTACTAAAATCAAGTAGCAAGAGAAAATTCTAGATAATTCAATTAAGCAGTTTATCAAGAATATTAATAATAAAACAATAGTCTATCAATAAATATGGAAAAACAGAATGAAGAAAAAATAAAGTCATCAGATTTTAGAATATTAGGTTTATACATAGAACCTAATAGGGGAAATAATTAAAGATAGATTGATATATATGGGATACATCCTTCAAATAATTTTGACAAAGAAGAATCTGCAATAGTGATCTGTAGGCAATAATATTAGAAGTTGGAAAGGTGTTTACCTAAACTCCCAATGGAGCAATAAATTATTCCTGAAGTTATATTTAGAAAGGTAAAACAATCAAGATAAGTGAGTTAGTTAAAGAATTAGCTTTAGCATTTCATGTTATATGCGTAGCTTACAAATATTTAATAAAGCATATACTGTATAACTAGTTTGACAGAGTAAAATAATAATAATAATAATAATAATTCTAACAAAGAAGTTTTCTTATTAAACTAATCATTAATAAGCTATTTATTTTAAGTAAGTTGATTGTAAAAAGATTGAATCTATATAAACAAATAAAATATATTGCTGTAACCAATAAGAAGAAACTATAAAACATTTGCTAGAATATTTAGTCTATAAGGATTCGTTATAAGAGGTATAGAATAAAAAAGCAAATAAAATTATTAGAAACTTCAAAGAGCTTTTATAAAAAAAAAAAAGTGACTGAAAAGAAAAATTCTAGGTTGATCATCAATACCTGAGAAGAAATAAAGGAGTTTAACAAGTAAATCTCTAGAGTAGTAAAACAAAATTTCAAAACCAGTCAAAATATTCTAAGTTTCTGTACTGATTTTATAATAAATAATCTTATTTTAGAAATAACTGATCTAAAATTTTAAGATAAACATATAGAAAAAATAGCAAGAAAGTGAATAATAAAGATACAAAAAAGAGTTTGTAACCAAGTCTAGAAAAAAGTTTGAAATAAGAGATATGAGAAAGTAATTGAATAGAAACAAGTAGGATAAGACAAAAAGATTCTCATATCCTTTAAATAAAAAAACCATATCTTTAAAGAGAAAAGAATTACTACTTGAAAAAAAAAACCTAGAAAATAAAAGCCTCTGAGAAATTTTAATAAAAAGAGTGAAATATGAAATAAAATAGTTAAATTTTAAGCTTTGTCAAAATATCACAAAGTGATTTATAGTAACAACTTGCAGATAATAAAATTAATAGTTATAAGGATCTTTATTGGAACTATTAATAGAGTAATAAATTATCTTTGAAATTGTACTTAAAGTTTTAATAATTTTTAAAATAGAGATAAGTGAGATAGGTAGAGATTTAGTTTAGTGATATATTTTCCAATATAAAATATATATATGTTTAATAAAAAATATATATCTAGCCTAATAGAGGATTTTTAAAAAACCAAAATAAAATAAAATAGTACCTATCTTTTTTTTTTACTTTGAATTAATTAATTTTTTTTTTTTTTAATCCACAATTATGTCGAAATAACTTGGTTTTATTAAAATACTTTAAAAAATATTAAAATAATTCACAAACTTTTTCATATAATAATCAACTTGTCTTTATACATTATTAATTAGTTAAAGGATTATACTACTTAAAAAATATGAGGTATCCACTAAACTAATGTGGACTAAACAAAACTAAGTCTCAACTAGGTACTCTAAGTTGGATTTAGGAGACAATATTATGCTCTCCTAGTAGTTTGGAATAGTGCCTCTACATTAATAAGAGTCATTGCCAATAGTTTGTCACTGTTGATTATCCTGAAAAATAATAAATTGTTGAAGTTGGAACTGGGAAAAGAAAAAATAAAAATCAATTCAAAGCCCTTCAAAAGATTCTTGCTCTATTTCATAGTCTTTTCTCAAAAGATATCTTACCTGATTGGGATAGTTTTCTTTGCTTCATTTGAATCTCAGAAGAAGTCTTCTTTGTCATCATATATGATATTAGATGAATATTCATTTAAGTGTGTATCAGATTGGGATAGTTCAAGAAAAACCAAAAGACTTCAGTTTCCACCTTAGAAAGCCTTTTCACCACTTGAGAAACTTAGAGAAAGAATAATATTTCTTTGTGCATATACATCTACCTTTTGATATCATAACTGTTTTCTGGAAGTGAATATACATAGTTGAAAAGGACTTTTTTTAGAACTTTCTTTTCTATATCACTCATGATATGATAAGAACATGTGAGTGTAACCAATAGGAGTTTGTTTACTTTTCCTGAAACCAACATGTTTTGTGTCAGCCAATTATCTTTGGTGAAGATTTGTATTATCCAAAATTTAGGGTCAAACTGGGATAGGCAAAATTCCTCAGAAAATCATAAAAATGATAGCTTTAAGAGACACACAAGTAACTGGAAGAAGAAAAAATAAATCCTTCTATCATCAAAAACCTTTATATATCTCTTGCTTCAAATATGGAGAAGATCTTCATATACTTTACTATTGGTTCTTTTTTCTTTGAGAACTTTCTTGCCATTGGTATCAAAGATATTACTTGACTTGTTTTTGATTACCAGAAGTCAAGTTTTTGATCAAAAAGGATTGTAAACAAGCAAGGGAGGGTAGAGGCAACTCTTGAAGTCACTCTTTAAGGAGTTTTAAGGAAAGTGTTAAAGACTTTTTAGCAAAGAAGCAAAAAAAACTTCTTGCAAACATCTTTTTTGTGTGATCAGAGGATCAGCAGAAAGAGTTTTATGCTCTTTATGGCCTTTTACTTCAAATTAATATTTTATAATAAAATATTAATTAATAATAAAACTTTGAATATATAATTATGATAATATAATTTATTTAGGTTCAATAATTATGATAATATTATTTATTTAAATTCAATTATTATTTATCAAATTATAATTAAAAAATATTAGTTTAAAGACTTTTGCAACAGACTGTAAATGTTTAATTATAGTATCAATCTAAAATTGTTTAATGAATCTAGATTTGAAACGTTAATTTTATGCAACTTAGAGTATAAACTAATTTATTGAAGTTTTTAACTAATACTTATTTAATACTTTAAGATTCTAACTCTATACAATTCTCACGTCAATAGAGTCTGATTTTTACAAAACTCTAAATCTTCTAAACGGTATATCTTACTCTATACTATTACAACAAGTGAAAGGTATTCCGCTTCATAGAATAACCTGCGAAATGCTACTTTGCGGTTTGCCGTTACATTTAAATAATTCAGTAAGCGTATACTCGAGATTTCCCAAACTCAGACGATTTTGCTGATTTCTTATCAAGTTCATTTCATAATCTCAAATTGTGTTTTAAAAAAAGCTAAAAGACATCAACTCCCTCCATAATTGTCATTCTTGAAACTCTTTCCTCGATAGATGAAATATCTATTCCATCATCACCAACTTCCCCGTTATGTTCATTTCTTGGTAAATAGTCATAAAACCACCGTTCTAGTAATCCTCGCACCTTTTCTTTTATATTTTCAACTAATCCCGTATTATTCCATGTCTCAATTAACGCCTCAACTACCCCAGCCACTGCTAATTTTCTTGCATACTCATTATGCGACTCGGGTGATGCTTCACATCCCGATAGATCCCCAACTGAAAGAATGTTAACTAAAGTATCAAGAATTTTGTTCAATATTTCATGAGGTGTTGAAGGATTACGTAGATGATGGAGAAGTGGTGAAATAATGTCATGTTGCAGAATTATGCTGAATTTATGAGGAACGAGTATGTCTGATTAGTTTTGACGAAAAGACCTTTATTTGAGCAAATATCAAAAATACTAACTGAACATGACCAGGATCGTGTAAGCTTGTAGAGTTACTAAGTACCCAACATGCTTCTTTAACAACTTTCATGTCACTGTCCCAAAGCAAAGCGACCACATTTTCCATTAGATTTGGTTCTGTAAGCACTGCATTGACCTAAAATATATAAAAAAATTTTTTCAATATCTCAAATTAGAATAACACGCATCCACATTACTATCCTCAAATACCTGCTTATATGTACCGGCAGCAACATTAGATACTGCTAGACATGCATCTCTTCTTAGCGTCAAATTTTTTATTGTCAAAAATGAAGACGTGAGAACAGTCAATGCACCAGCATCTATAACTGCTTGCGTTTGTTTCTCTAAATTAATATTCCATCGTTAATTCCAAAGAACTTTTAATGTATATTACTTGATGAAACTGAATACGGACCCGCTCCTGACGCAATATTCACTAATGTACGTAGTACCGGCAGGTGTACCGTAGAAGAAAGGATTTCCTCACTATTGTTTAATTAATAAATATTAATCAGAACGTGAACTTTATACAAATAATTAAACATCAAAATGGTTACCATAAAATCTGTACTAAACGACGACATAGATTGTTATCGCTAACCAAGGCATGTTCCCTATGCTTATGCGTTCCATTCAGAATTCTGGACATACCCCAACTATATAATTATGCAAACGAATCAATGTTTGTATTAAATACACAATTAGTAATTCAAGAACTAACCATGCATCTGATATAATCTCAGGGTCATTTAGTTGTATCATATTTCCAAGGATCGGAAAAGCTGGAGTGATCTAGTTAAATAATAATAACGATAATACTTACTTAACGGCTTGTATTTAACTTGCAAACAATACAGGAATTGATGATATTTAATTTACCAATGACCATGAAGGGTCAGAACAACGACATCCACGACACATATTTGCCGTTGCCCAGACTGTTATTCTGACGGCCATGTAATCATATTTATCGTAATGTGTGAGAATATAAAGTAAAGGGTCAAGCACGCCGGCAGATAAAATAATATCCCTGAATACAGCGCCATCTCCTGCAATATTCCCCAACGCCCATATGATCTTTTTTATTAAATATGATGTTAATTATTATTTCACTTGTAAATCATTAAATTGCAAGAATATAAATAGCCCACCTGTGTCTGAACTTCAATATTAGTTGAAGTAGACAACACCTTAATGAGATGTCGTGTCACATCACCAGCAACAAGCGCTTCTGTATGTTTAGTAGAACCAGCCTAAACAATCAATGATATATGCGCATCGTTACTTAATTGGCTACATATAAATTGTACTTAATCCATCATGATTCAACATACGGCTATATTGGTAATTATCCACGCTGTTTCGTACTAGATGAAAAAGGTCATTTAATAAATTATACTTAGTTTATAATACATGCGTATAATTGAATGCTGGTTTATTACCTGTAATAAATTATCATGATAACTTTCGAGAAATTCAATTAATAAAGGTATTATGTTCAATGCCAAGACGTTGTCGACCCTTTCATCTACATTTTCTGTAAATGTAAACAGATGTACTTTAATAATTGAGTCTTTTTCTTTTCTTTTGATCTTTTAAATCTTGAGCCATTGATACACACGCAATGATAAATATTTTCGTAATCTTACAACAGCAGCGAGCCTTAATTGTCGCACTGGTGAATGAAGAGCATTATAAACAGCATGCGCATATTGGGGCAACTAAAAATTTAGAAAAAACCATGGATGTTACTCGAGAAAAATGCAAATTTACTCAAAAAATTGTGTCATTCAAACACTAACAAGCATCGAAACTTCACAAACTGGCAACCCGTCGTCATTCTTTCCCAATACCTCCGTTGCGTCGGACACTACTGAAAGATTCGCTAATTTGCGGTTCAAGAATTCAATAATATCGGAGTCTTCTTCGGCTGTGTTCTTTTCAGTATGCGAAGTCATTTTATGGTTTTTTTTTAATAATTTTGACAAAAAAAGTATATATATAATAAAGTGAGAAAAAAAGAAAAAAAATTCCTGTTTTATTTTTTGCAGCTCGTACAGTTCAAGTGGCTTATAAATCGTACGAAATATCACGTGGATGTAATATGATAAGTTATTAAAAATAAAAACATTTACTTTTCTAAGCATTAATAGCATTTATCTTATTTTAAGATATACAATTATGGGGATTATTATATAAACATTTATTATATGACTATTATATAATAACCAACTTTATTATTAAAATCAACTCTTTTTTGTTAATTCTTTAATTATATATAAAAAAGATAATTATTTTAAATCAAATTAAAGAATATTTTCAAAATTATTTTTTATACTTTTTTCTTATTTATAATCTTCTTTGATTAAAACTTAACTTTCAATAGCTAAACAAAATCAAGCAACACCTTTACTATCAATAGTAAAAAAATTTTTAAAGAAAAAAGAATTTACTATAAAATATTTAAAGTTTTTTTTATTTTTGAAAAAAATTTTTTTTTTAATTTATAATCATATTATATAATTAATTTTTATTGAGAAACTTATACAATATAACTATTTACAATATTACAGATTTTTTACATAATATCTAATTTATCATTGTATCAAAGTACTCTAAGTTAAATCTAGAAAACAATATTTTATTTTTTTAAAAAATTGATATAAATCTTTATTTAATAGATTTATTATCAATAGTTTATTACTGTAAATTATTTAAAATTATAAATTGCTATTTTAATAAAGAAAAATAAAAAAAATAAAAGGAGAAAGAGAGCAAAGAAAAGAAAAAGAAAATATAATTTAAGCTTTTTAAAAAAATTTATTAACTATATAATTTTTTTTAAAAATTTTTTTATTTGATTGAAATATTCTTCTTATTTCTACTTGAACCTCATAAGAAATTTTCTTTATTACTACCTATAATATTGAATAAGACAATTTAACTAAATTTATTATTTAAGCAAATAACAAATTAAAATAATTTAATATAAATATAAAAACTTAAAACTATAATCAAAAAAGTTTTTTTTACTATCTAAAAAATTTGAAAAAAAAATAAAGTTTTATAATCTATATTATTTATCTTTTAATATTTTAGATATCTTTTTTAAAAATTTGAGACTTTTGAAAGAGAATAATTTCTAAAACTTTTTTTCTTAATTATTAACAAAAACTTATTTATATTCTATAAACTAATATATTCATATCAATCAATTATCTTTAATAAGAATTTGTGCTTAAAATTTTATAGTCAAATTGAAATAAATAAAAATTTTCAGAAAACCTTAAAAGTAGAAGATCTAAAAAGATTCAAATAATCAAAAAAAGAAAATGAGTTTTTTTATTATAAAAAATCTTTATAACCTTTTATTTCAAAAATTGAAAAAGTTTTCAAATACTTTATGATTAGTTTTTCTTTTTTTGAAAACTTTTTTGTTATTAATATTAAAAGTGTTACTTAATTTTTTTTGATTATTAGGAATTAAGTTTTTTAAATGAAAAAATTTATAAATAAGAATAAAGAGTAAAAATAATTTTTGAAATTATATTTCAAAGAAAATATCAAAATTTTATTAGTAAAAAAATAAAAAAAACTTTTTGTAAACATTTTTTTTTATATATAATCTGAGAATTCATAGAAGAATTTTTTTGAAATATATTATTATTAAGATTTTTTATAATAAAAAATTATATATATATATTTTTTACCTATTTTTTTTTCTTTAACAATTATACAATAATGGCTTATTTTATTATGAAATTAAAATAAAATCTATGTTAAATTGTAAACTTTCACAAAGTATCTAATTCATTTTTATGCAAAAATATTCTAAATCAGATTTTTAAAAATAATATTATGTTTTACTAATATAATTAGATTAATCACTATTTATTAAGATTATTGTCAATAGTTTATTGATTAATTTAAAAATCAATAAATTACCAAGTTAAAGAAAAAATATGATTAATAATTAAGAAAAAAAAAAATTCAAGGCCTTATGAAAAAAGTCTAAAAACAAAATCATTTTTCTTTTAAAAAATTGTTTAATTAAAATATTTCTTTTTTTTACTTTACTTAAATTTCAAAAGAAATCTTTTTTATTACTACTTGTAGTATTAAATAATTAATTTAATAAATTGTTTATTTAAGTGAATATCAGATTGAAATATTTTAAGAGAAGCATTCAAACCTTAACTTTTATTTGTTAAAGCTTTATTATCTCCTAAAAAACTTAAGAAAGAAATAAAAATTTACAATTCATATTACTCACCTCTTGATTTTTTGATATTATAAATATTTTTCTTAAAAGATTTAAACTTATAAGAGATAAATATTTTTGAAATATTTTTTCTAATTATCAATAATATTATTAAAACACATGAATATAATCAATAGAAGTATGTTTGCATTCTAAAAATCAATATATTTTATATTAACCAATTACCTTTAATGATAATTTATATTATTTAAAATTTCGAATCAAATTGTCGCAAGTAAAATTCTTCAAAAAATTATAAAAATAAAAGCTCTAAAAAAATATAAATAGTTAAAAAAAAAAGAAAATAAGCCTTTTTACTATAAAAAATTTTTATAAATTTTTTGTTTCAAAGGTTAGAAAAGTATTTAGATACTTTTATAGTTAAATTTTTTTTCATTAAAAACTTTTTTATTATTGGTATCAAAAATATTAATTTTTCTTGATTATTGAAAGTCAAAATTTTAAATAAAAAAATTTATAAATAATAAGAAAAGAATAAAAACAATTCTTGAAGTTAAACTTCAAATTATTTTTAAGAAAATAAGTAAAAAAACTTCTTAAAAACATCTTTTTATATATAATTAAAAAATTAATAAAAAAATGTTTATTATTTTTTTTTTATGAATTTCCAAGAAATTTTATTTATTTTAACTTAATTTTTTTTTTTTTTTAAACTGCAACTGGTATTAGATATGAGCTTTATTAAGAATTAACTTAACATTTGGTGGATAACTAAATCCATAATGTGACATCAATCATCTTATACAAACTATATATTTCTATATACTGTACATGCAGATTAATGATAACCTATCGTGGTTTGTCCTAGTTAAACCAGCTTCTACTCCTTAAGTGGGCAGACCTAACTAGATGCCAGATGATTAATACATAGTTATTAACGACGTGACTAGACTAATTAGTATTGAGCTTGTTAATTTTTGTATTTTGTTATTATTTTATTAAGCTAGTCCTTTTCATATGTACCCAACAGAATTTTTTATACCCTCCAATATTCTCAGATATTATTCGCTCAGACCTCGGAAGGGGGCACATTATCTTCTTTGTTACCACCTGTGACATCGGATCAGTCCTTATTAACTGATTTTCAATTAAGCGGAGCATCAGATTGGGATATCCTGAACTAGAAGAGTGGGGGTCCTGGAGATTGCCAGGGCAAGGGATCTTGAGGTGTCTGTGATAAGCTAGACCAGAAGCCTTTCTTCATACAATCCTTCCAATAGTACAACCATAAATCTCAGTCCCTGATCGATGGAAGGTCAGAAGTCCCATTTTCCTGTAGCCTAACCTGATTGGATCTTGTTTCAGATAATTGGGTACAACTTTCATAGAATAATCGGTAAAACCTAATCAGAAGGTAATTTTTTAATTTTTGGCCCTTAAGTGGTATTGAACTACGGACCTTGTGATTGTGACCTGGGAGCACTACCACTATACTATTGATCCACAGGTCTACTTAATTTTATATTTTTAAATAATATAATTTTTATTAAAAATAATGAATTAATATAAAGTATATTACTTTTTGAAATATAAATAATATTATTAATAATTAAAAAAAAAAATTTATAAATATTTATTTTTTTCAATTAAATAAGTTTAAAAAAAAAATCAATTATTTTTTATTTTTTATTTTTTTTAATCCACAATCATGATGCTTTGGTATGTCTTTATTGAGATACTAAAAGATATCAAAATATTTTATAAACTTTTATAAAGTGACTAACTTGTTATTGTATATTATTAGTTAAAGGACTATATTACTGAAAAAATATAAATAGTTCACTAAACTAGTTTAGATTAAACAAAATCAAGTTTAAACTAAGTACTCTAAATCAAATTTAGGAGACAATATTATACTCTCCTAGTAGCTTAGCATAGTGCCTCTAAGTTAACTAGGATTATTGTTACAGTTTGTTATTATTTATTATTCTGAAAAATAATGAATTACTAAAGTATGGCACTGAGAAAAGAAGAAAAAAAAATACAATTCAAAGCTCTTCAAAAGGTTTTTGTTCCATTTCACAGTTTTTTCTCGAAAGGTTTTTGTCTGATTAGAATATTTTCTAAGTTTTAGAATATTTGAGGAACTTAACTATTCTTGAAAGTAACTTCAAGAAGAATGTTTAAAAAACTTATTTTTCTGTTGATGTATAAATTTGTTTAATACTACTGAAGCCAGTACTATATTATAAAAGAGTTTGTCTAATTGGGATAAAAAAATCTTTTCAAGAACTTTGCCTGATCAGAATAAAAGCTTGAAGATCTCAGTTTTTGTTCAAGAAAATCTTTTTATCACTTGAGAAATTTAATAAAAAATAGAAGTCAGATCTGTTTACCTATCTATTGCTTACCTTTCGATATCATAATTGTTTCCTGAAAATCGAATATATATAGTTGAAGAAAACACTTTTTTTAGTACTTTCTTTCTTATATTATCAATAATGTAATAAGACATATGGATATAATTAATAAAAGCTTGTTTATATTTCAAAATTGATGTGTTTCATATTAACCAATTACCTTTAGTGAGAATTCGTATTATCTAAAATTCAGAATCAATCTAAGATAGACAAAATTCTCCAGAAAACTATAAAAGTAAGAGCTTTAAGAGGGCTCAAACAGTTCAAAAGAAAAAAAATAAACCTTTTGACTATAACAAATCTCTATGGATCTCTT